CTGAAAAAATTTGTTCAGTGAGAACTAATTAAGTAATTCCGAGGTAGATATCTGATTAAACTTAAGAAGAGGGAAAGTAAGAATTATCTGTGAAATTTAAATAACTCATATTTAAAGTGTGTTAGGGAAGAGGATTTATTGAATAAATAGCATCAAAAAAGAGATAATTGTGTGTTGTATAAAATGAGTTATTGTACATAGCTATATTCTAGAACTAAAATGTATTATTTTTTTGTTAGATTGTGCTCACAGTTGAGAATATCTATAAATTACAAAACTGATTATTGGATATTGTCATATTAGCTACATTGAATTCACCAGCTTCAAATAACTAACCAGAGAATTGTGGATAGTAAGTTTAATTTATATCGCATAGATTACTTTAAATTATAAAAGTATCAATAATAACATTAACATCGCTCTCTTAGGTTAATATACTGAAATTTTCACTTAATTTACAGCTATCAATTAGAATATTTTAAAGTACAATCTATTTAATATAATAAAAATATTTCATTTTTATTTATAGTTTAAAAAATTACCTATTAAGAATTAACGATTGTTATTAAAGTTGATGTATTTGAAAAATCTAAACTTTGTAAGTTTATATTTTTAATAGTCAACAAAGAATTATTTATTTAAATAAAGAAACAATCAGATGTATTATCTGTAGAAGATATACTTATGTTATCTATAGTAGCACTTGAAATAATACCATCGAAATAGACCCCACACTTTTATTAGGAGCTACTAATAATAAAATTAATAAGTATATCATCAATGTTTAGCATAAATAGACCCGAGAATTGGAGCAACTAATTTACATTAATTTAAGCTAATTGATTATTATTATTATTCCAGCTCTAAATTGTTAAATTTGTTTATGCAAAAACTTACAAAGTTAGCAGTTCATTGTAAAATACCATCTAATTTTAGTTGCTCACTAATATATTAACGTTTAGAATTTCAAATCCGTTTATTAATTCGAAATATTATTTAACCTATTTTTAAAATGTAAATATTATTTTTAAATAGAAAATACTTTGGTAAAATATTTATTTTAATCTAGAGATTTACTAAAAGTAAAGATGAAATTATACTCAAAGAAGTTGTATAAGGCTATTCATAAGAACCTATCCCATATATACTTTTAGTATCAGTAGTTTCAGTAGTATTAAAATAAAACTACATTTAGCATTTCTAAGTACAACTAAGTAAATTTTAAAGACATTATCCAATAGGGAAAAATGTATTACTATAGTAATACTAAATAAATAAAACCTAAGTCTTTTCTATATACTGAATATTATTTCCAACATCTGCTAAAGAAGGAGACTGGAAATGCATAAATAATTCAAATTATTAAGTAACTGTATTAAAACTCCATAAATAAACATCTCCACTATTTTATTCTCCAACTCCAAACATATTAATTGTATTGAATACATTTAAATATTATGGATTTGACTGAAGTTTCATTAATGGTTTAAATATTTTATTAGAGAAATTATAGCTAATTAAATTGTAATTACCACAAACTATTATTAGAAATTTATTATTATCAGTATGAAATAATTAACCAATTATTGAGCCAGAACAATTGGACGCTTTTTTTTTTTAATGAATAAATAAATAAAATAATTTTAAAAATATTTTATTATTATTTTTAAATTAATGAAAAAAAACTTTTAACTTTTTGGGATAGGATTTGATATTTCATTAGTTTATTTTCATCTAAAATAAAATGAAATTAATTCCCATTTTGAATTTTATGTTTGATTTTATTGTAAGATTACCTATTGAGTATTTGAATGAAAAGTCTGTTGAATTCCAAACAAAAATACTTCCATTAACAGCTATTCCAACGATTTCTTAATCTTCTTATGAATAGAGAGCATAACTTGTTTTTTGATTATTTTCTTCTACTTTATTTGAGAGCAATTTAAACGATTATTAAGAGGAAATATTTATAGCATAAAATAAGAAATTTTCATTATGATTTTTTTAAGTTAATCCTACAATAACCCAAATAGCTTGATTAATATCTTAGTAGGGATCAATATTGAAGCTTATTGAACTTAAATCAAGCTTTAATTTATATAATATGTATACCTGTTTTTATAATTATAATAACTTTAATATTTTTGATTAAGATAGAAAGAAAGAAATAATTACTTAAGGAGTGAATGTTGAGTTCATTACTTTATAAAATACTAAGCGTAAAGTATCATGCATAGCAATAAAACAAGTATTACAGTTTTTTACAGAAAAAAATGTATTTTATCTTTATTTGATACTCGAAAAAAGAGGATAAGCAAGGATAGATTTTAGATTACTTGGAGAATCTTTAGTGACTAAAATTTGATCATATGAAGTAGCAGCAAAGTATATTTCTTAATTGAGTTAGAAACTAAATGTTTTTGTAAAACCTATAGAAGTAAAAGCTTAAGTTTTATAGTATAATAGTTAAAGTAAATTTATTTTTGAAATTTTATTTTTACCAAAACGAGTGAGCTAAGTGCTTGTACTATATGAATAAACAAATATAGCTTATTTTAAATTATATACACTATAGCTGTATGGTGTTAAAAATTATTGACGTTCTTCCAAATGATACCATTCATGACTTAGATCTCCAGGTGGTTAAATAGTAAAAGGTTGATTGATATTAGCAAAGCTAAAAGAATCATATGTATTTGTTTTCTAATTATAGACAAAATTTAAGTCTATTCTATAAATAGACTTTGTGCTACTTATGTATAAACTGCCTTAATTATTTTTAGAATTTATAAAGCTTAAACTGATTATTTCATCTCCTGATGCTGATGGACAATTTGGTAGATCTATTTTTTTAAATTTTAAGAAATTTATAATGAAAATTATTATTATATTTAATCTACTATTATTCTGAATTATTGTTATCTAATTTGATTATAAATTAATGATCTAGTAAGCCATGATTTGACAATTCTTTCCTGCTAAAAATATAATATCATAACTCTAGTGGAAATCTATTAACCTATAATTACCAGCTATAAAATAAAATAGAGTGAGATATTATTCTTTAAAAGACTTAAAAAATAAGTTATACAATTTGTAGAATAATATCCATTGAATGAGAATTCTAAAGTTTTAAAATCAATTGACCAAGTATAAGCACCTAATACATCAATTACTGCAATAAAATTCTAACCATTTTAAAGCTAAAGTAACTTTGCAGAAGTAATTTAATTACTATTGCCAGAATTAAAAGGTGAAATATTCAAAGATAGAATTTATTTTCCTTCTACAAAGTCAAAAACATATAATAAATATGTTGAACTTATTAATACACAATAATTAGATCCTTTCATGAAATGCATACCTTTTAAATCACTGAATGGTAGTGTTTATTTAGATTCAAGAGTATAAGGATCTGCGTATATTAGCTATTATGAATTCAGAGCTAAAATTTGATTTCTTTATAGTACATACTCCATTTGAAATATAACGTATTTAGCTTTAATAAAATAAAAATTGTTTTAAAAAAGTATAAACTATTTATTTAAATTTACGTTAAACCACATTCACAATATTATCAATTTCACTAGAAATATCATTGTAATATACTATACTCTTAGTCTAAAGGTTAGTCACTCCATCCCATTAATAAAATATAGCGTTTATCAAAAGTATATTAGTGTTAGGTAACTTCAAATAATTAGAAGGAATATAGCTTTCAAAATATTTAGCCTCTGTTTTTAAAAATTTATATCATAATGTATTAAAATATTAATTTAATCTTACGGTACTACCTAGAAAATGCTGAACAAATTTAAGCATTTAAGTTTTGTATTGATTACAATAAGATTATGACTGTTAAATTCAAAGTAAAGAATGATTTACTCATATTAATAGATATTTCTTCAACCTTCTATTATTACTATTTTTAATTCAAATATGGGTTTTGAGATAAGATTATTGAATTATTTCGTGGATAGTTTTTTGAATAACTTCAAATGTTTATCGATTATTATTTTTGATGTTTCTTATTCTTTTCTTTTACTATTTTTAATTCAAATATAGGTTTGAGATAAGATTATTGAATTATTTCGTGGAGAGTTTTTTAAATAACTTCAAATGTTGATTAATTATTATTTTTGATGTTTCTTATTCTTTTCTTTTATTCTTATATCTCAAACTTAGGATTTAAATATAATTGAATTATTTGATGGGGAGTTTTTTAAATAACTTCAAATGTTGATTAATTATGATTTTTGATGTTTCTTATTCTTTTCTTCTTATATCTCAAATTTAGGATTTAAATGTACACTTCTATTATTGAAATTAATCTAAAAAAACTAAAAAATGTTCTTTCTTACCTTCTATTATTACTATTTTTAATTCAAATATAGGTTAAGATTATTGAATTATTTCGTCAAGAGTTTTTTAAATAACTTCAAATGTTGATTAATTATGATTTTTGATGTTTCTTATTCTTTTCTTTTCTTCTTATATCTCAAATTTAGGATTTAAATGTACACTTCTATTATTGAAATTAATCTAAAAAAACTAAAAAATGTTCTTTCAATCTTCTATTATTACTTTCATTCAATATAGGTTTTGAGATGAGATTATTGAATTATTTGGTGGGGAGTTTTTTAAATAACTTTATATGTTGATTAATTATTATTTTTGATGTTTCTTATTCTTTTCTTTTATCTACAATATATATCTACAAAGCTACCTCTAATAACAATAAAGTACTGTCCTCAAAATTTTTAATATAAAAAATTTAAAGTAATTTTTTTTAAATTATTTAAGTATAAAATAATTTTTACCATTTTAATTTTATAATTTTATACTTTAATATCTCTTTCAAAAAATAATTCAAATATATATATTATTGATTCAGTAAATTCAAATTAATAAAAATTTGAATTACTGAATGCTTATTTTTAAATATATTTTTGATAGCTACATTAAATTAAATATATGTTTCTATAATTAAAAAAAATTTTTCAATTCAAAATGAAGGTTACACTAATATATTAATTATGTTAAAAATAAAATGAAACTATTAATTATTATAATATTTTAAAATTCATTTATAATCTTTAAATAATAAATATTTAGAATCTTTTTTATATTTAATTTGTTTCATTCTTATCTTTCTGTATCAGGATTAAATATGTTCTACTAAAAATCAAAATAATATTTTGACTTTCTTTTTCTATTCGTACTATCTAGGTTTTAGTTTACGTTATATATATTTGTTTGAGATAATTATTGTTCAACTTTTTAGATGTTTTTACTGCTTGACTGTGTAGATTATAAACTATGACTACTCTTGTAAATGCTTTAAGAAAAAACAGAGTTCCTTTTTCTTCTATTTATTTACCAATTTATTTATTTTTAAGAATTAATTTGTGGCTAGTCTTGTACATTAGGAGTTTGGTAGATAATATTAATTGATTATATTGCTTCGTTATTATCTAAATTTTTATCCAGATTGTTATTATTAACTATATTTTAGTCTATTTTTTTGTTAAGTTATACAGGTGAGGATTTTAAGATAGCTGGTTATACCTAAGATCTACTCTTTTTATTTTTAATGTCATTACTAGTGATTTAACTAATTAATAAATAGATACTATGAGATCTTTAATAATAAAAATATTAAAGTATGCTATTAAAAATCCACTAATAGCAACAATTATCCATCCAATTTTCATTCTTGTATCTTCGTTTTCATCTTAAATATCCTTAACTAATAATGAAACACAAATTTAAATAACTATCATTAAAACTTCCTAATAATCTACCACATCTGATAAAGATGCTTAACATCAATTTCATACAAAAATTTTAATTTTGATTAGCGAAAACACCTAATTTTTTGAACGAAAACTCTTCTTAGTTTTCTTAACAATATAATTCAAGATAAAATAATAATAGTAATTAACGAGAAAAGCTATCAATAATATAAGAGGAAAAGTGAGGTCTGGAGCAAACTTTTTTAGACTATCTTTTTAAAACAAATTTATAACATTTAAAATAATTTACATTATTAAAATCTAGGAAGAATAAGAACTAAGTGTATAGATATTACTAAAGTTAGATGATTTACACACAAAATTTAAATTTGAGTTTTGTGAATTTATGTAAAATGCACCTCCATCATTCTAAGCATAAGCTTCTATAAATGAAGATTTTTCTATAAAAATATTTTTTTCTGAACTAAGATTCTCTATATAAAGAAACGAGCCTTAGCTTGCTGTAGATTAGCTAAAATTTGAAGAAAGTATTTACAAATTGTTTGATTTAGCCCTTAAGCAACCTCCTTATTATATTAAAGTTGTTACATTCTCTGTGATATTAAATGAAGATTTCTTGCAATTAGCATTAATGATAGTTATATTACGATCAACTATATATTGAAAATTAAAGATACTACAGATACTGAATTAATATATTGGTTATTATATAAATATATAGAACCTAATGGATTAATTACCTGAATTGCAGAAGTTGAATAAGCTTAGGTATTAGGAATTGAATTTAATCTATTTTAGCTAAAAATTGAGTTGCTTATTATTATATTAGAAGTATAAATGGAAGTAATTAAAATTGGATTAGCTTAGGAGTTAGTTTAATTTTATTCAAAATATGAGCTTGTGATAACTACTTATGATAAATTTATTACTGAATTTGTGTAAGCTTAATTTTTTATTACTAAAATAGAATTGCTTATTGCTTTTATATAGCTTGATTATAGATTAGTTATGCTAAAATTTTTTATTTCATCGAAAATTAAACATCCACCTTACTCTCTATTGACTAAACTATCAAAAAATTTTTTATCATTTAAGCAAGAAATATTGCTAATTGAGACTAGAGAAGATTAGGATAATGAGCAAAATGCTATTTCTTATTGGTTTTTTACTGTAAATTCAGTTATTAAAACTGAAAAAATTTGTTCAGTTAGAACTAATTAAGTAATTCCGAGGTAGATGTCTGATTTAACTTAAAAAGAAGGAAAGTAAGAATTATCAGTGAAATTTAAATAACTCATATTTAAAGTGTGTTAGGGAAGAGGATTTATTGAATAAATAGCATCAAAAAAGAGATAATTGTGTGTTGTATAAAATGAGTTATTGTACATAGTTATATTCTAGAACTAAAATTTATAGTTTTTTATTAGATTGTGCTAACAGCTGAGAATATCTATAAATTACAAAAATGATTATTGGATATTGTCATATTAGCTACATTGAACTCACGAGCTTCAAATAGCTAACCAAAGAATTGTGGATAGTAAATTTAATTTATAGCGCATAGATTATTTTAAATTATTAAAGTATCAATAATAACATTAACATCGCTCTATTAGGTTAATATACTTATTTATTTAAAATCAGGTCATTTTTTAGGATCTTTTAAAAGGCATCTTATGACCAATTTACTTACATCAATTTTTACAATGGGGTATTAGGTAATCATTTTTTAATATTATTTAACAAAATTAATTAACTCATTTATTTCTGTCTTAAAATAAAAGTTAATCAATTTTGTTATTATAGTGAATGAGTTAATTAAAAATCTATTTTTAATCACCTTTAAATATTTATTTGCAAGTAAACATTTCATATAAAATTAATCCAAAAGACCAAACGTCTATTTTATCGTCATATACTGAGCCTTTCTTATAAGCAGATAGTATTTCAGGAGCCATATAACTTGGTGTTCCTACAATTGATTTTAAATCTCTTTATACCTCTTTAGTTAGTCCATAATCTGATATTTTAGCTATAATTTTTTCTCCATCATTATGGATCAATATATTTTCAGGCTTTAAATCTCTATGCGCTAGGTTTAGTTCTTTTAATATCATCATGCCTTTAGTAATTTAAATTGCAATATCTATAACTTCTAGTGCTTATTCCAAAGTCTAAACTTCTTATTATTTTTTAATGTGATATGTGTAGAGATCCCCTTCATTGCAGTATTCAATTACTATGAATTTCATTTTTTTCTCATCACTACTTTAGTCATAAAAATTTGACTAAATTTTCTAAGTTTTCAGAATATTTATCTGAAATATTTTTTAAGACTTCATAATCTACTTAAAAACCTTTTATTTAAAAGAATTATTTTAGTGTTTACCATAAATCAAGCTACCAAAAAATAAATAAAAAAATGTATAACTTGAATCCTTAAAGTATTCTTTAATTACTACCTGCTATTAATTTTTTTAATCAATCACAAAATATATAGAGGCCTATCCTCCTTATATTATAGTATTTTTATTTTCTTAGTATGTACTCATTTATCCTACAAAAATTCTATTTTGCATTTATTATTTAATGGATTTACTATTTTTATTATATTTATCTAAATTTAATAATAATAACTTTATTAAACCTCCTCCTTCAAAAAACAAAAAAGGCACATTAAAAAATAGAATTCAAAAGAAATATTTTAAAGGAGAGTAAAATTTTTTTTTTTTTAGTGATTAAAATAATAGTAGATAGATAGATACCTAACATAGACATGTAATTATTAATAAAATTCTTTTAATTTTAGTTATGTCATGTAATAATTGTAAATTTAATCACTTTTATAAGATATATAAATGACTGATATATAAATCAATAAAAGTTTTTTAATTATCTATGGTTTATTGGTAAAATTTGCATAACACTAATAAAATAATTTGCTAGTGAAATATACTTAATTATTAAAACTTATTAAATACGAAATTTAATACGTGTTTAGAGAAGACTATTAAATTTTTTATATTCAGTATATTCATTCATTGTAAATATTCAAATCTTTTATTTATTTATTTATTTATTCACGATACTTACTAACTCAAATTAAAGACTTTGTAGTTAAGATATCAATCTTCGTTTGATGAATTGACTAAATTATAATATTGAATTCATAATTTATAATCAAATGTCAATAAATAATGTCTAAAATTTATGAAAAAGCTAGCTTAAGGTTTTATTAGTGTTATGCAATCTTTTTATAATACAATATTTTAATTTTCAGCTTCAACTAAATTTTAATTTTCAACAAAGTTAGTAGTTATTTTGCTTATTCATCATTAAAATTTATTTTATTTTTAAGAATCAGGCATAGAAAATTTAGAAAAATAAGTAGAGGGATATTTGGCTTAAGACAGCAATTCTGGTGATCAAACTAAATCACAATTTAACTTGAACTCTTCATTACAATCTTCAAGTAAATTTATTTTTATAATAGTTTGTAATTTTTTATTTATAAATAAAATAGCTTTATAATCTACTTAATATATTACCAATTTAGAATTTAGGAAGCACATTAGGTATTTCAAACATAACTACTACCTAATAAAATAAATGAAAATTAAACTCTATAAATTTTAAGCTATATATTTAAGTTAATATCATTCAAATTTAATTTAAAATGAATATTTTATAAAACTATTTAAAAAATTAAAGTTTTAATTCAAAATAGTGGTTGATTTATGATATGTTTGTTATATTTCTATTATGTTAATTATTTATATATTAAATTAATTAAATTAAAAAACTAAACCCAAAATAATATTAAATATCACTAATTTTAATTTTTTTTGTCTTTGAAGTAATATTTATTTATTTTAAATTCTATAAATAATATTCTTAAATAAAAATAATTAGTTTTTTATATTACAGAGCAAATAAAGCTTAATATTTAATATAAATATATTATTAATAGGGAAAAATGAACTTTAAAATTGATAAATCTTTATAGTTAAAAACAAAAAAATAATATGTATTATTAATATTTAATAATAATTTTCAGATATTTAATGTATTATCTATTTCATATTCAGTAAAATAAATTAAATTATTATTTTTATCCACCTTGTAACTGAATTTAATTTTATTTATTCATTAGTATTATCCTGTTTATCTTTTTAACGTTCTTTCTAATCGATTGCTCTTTTTAATTCTTCGAATCCTAATATTTAATTAAAAAATTTTATGATTAAAAAAAAAAAATATATATATTACATTAAAAAAGAGGAGATTAGTTTATCTAGCTGTTGTAAACAGTCTTTGGGGTATTTTCATTATCTTTATCAAAGTAATCGGTTTCAGTGTTTAATTTTTGTTAATTTTTAAAAGCTAAGTATTTTTCTTTTAATTTTATTAACTTAATAGATTTATCCTCTTTATCATTTTAACTCTCTTTCTAATTCCTTACTAAATTTAATTCTTCGAATTCTAATTAATATTTAATTAAAATATTTAATGATTAAAAAAATATTATTAAAAATATTACATAAAAAAATAGGAGATTAGTTTATCTTGCTGGTATATACAGTATTTGGGCTATTTTAATTATCTTTATCTAAGTAATCGCTTTCAGAGTTTAATTTTTGTTAATT